CAGATATTAGCAGTCCCACGTGGTTCAGCCTAATTACCATACGGCCAGCTCTTCAGATGTATTTTCTCACTAATCCCCCTCTTGGCCCCATGAGGCAGGTATAATGTCCATTTTGTTTCAGAAATTGAGGTTCAGAGAGGTTAAGTGACTTGCCCAAGTAAGTACTCAAACCCCGGTCGATGTGACTCCAAAACCCAGGACCGTGAGTCACATCCTCTTTTATGTCAGATCCCCGTCCCACCTGCCCCCGCACTCACTCATTCATGAGCTGTGCTTCGAGCCGTTGCCCCGGCCAACAAGCACACTGGACAGAAAGCAGGCTGAGTGTGGGGCCTCGCTGGCCCGCCACGAGGTCTGTGCGTGCTGGCGTCGGGTGCCCCACCAGCCTCCCTCGCCCACTGGAGCGCTGGCTCCCACGGCCTAGCTAAGGCCCGCCTGCCTCGCTGCTGCGACGCGGGGCCACGGGGGGCACGACGCTGGCGAGGCCTTGGTGCCTACAACCGGGCACAGACGTCAGGTGTCGTTTCTGTTGTTTGGCCGTCGGATCAGCTTGGTCCTTTCAAACCAGAACTTGTTTTAGGGGAAAAAAACGTGCCCAACACGGTCACCCCCTGACACAGGCGTGCCCCTAGAGATTAGACAGCAGAGAGATGATGAAATCTGACACCGCCGCTTACCAGCTGGGGGACTTGGGCAACTCTTTGAACCTCGGTTTCTTCATCTGTAGAATGGGGCTAATAATGGCATCTATTTTTAGGGCGGTTTGTAAGGATTATATGGGATAATCCCAGTGTGCTTGGAATGCTTGGAACACTGCCTAGCGCACAGGTCACAAGCAACGCTGCCTGTTTTTATTCCCAGGCCAAACTAAGCCCGCAATTCTGCCTCCCTCTTCCTAGTTCAGGGGACAAGCCCTGTCTGAGCACTGTGCTAGGAAATGTTAGGATAGCAGATCCTAAGTGGGGTCGCAGCTGATGCTTCGGAGCACCAAGAGCTTATGATTCAGTAGGGGAGACAGAATCCTACACCACCGATGTCTCTTCAGGGCAGATATTTTTAAAGGGGGGGAAAGAGGCTTCCTGGAGGAGGTGTGGCCTGAGCTACATCCTGAAGGATAAGAAGAGAGCCAATCGAAGAGGATGGAAAGCACTTGCTTGGAAGCCCAGAAGCAAGGTTTGTTTGAGGAACTACAAATGCATGGGGCCAAGGGTCCGGGGTGAGGAGGTTAAAAGGTGAGCACTGCCGAGAGGCGCTACAAGGCCCTGAAAGGAATCATACTAAGTGGAGTCTGAGAAGAGAAAGTAGGAGAGAGATTTGCATTTTATAATTACAGATTGAATGAGGCAGAGAGGACAGGATTTGGTTGTTTTATTGCATGATGGCAGACAGGGCTAGGGAGATGAGAAAACCCAGGTTCCTGGTGGGGGCTGAGATATCTACAGGCGAGAGGGATAAGGCCACCAGAGTGATGTCGCTGCCCAGGGAGGGGGCAGTACCCTGTAAGACACCCCCAAATTTGAGGGGTGAACTGAGACAAAAGAGAGTAGAACCAGGCAGGGACACCCTCACTTCCCTCCACTAATCCAAACCCCAGCTGGTCTGGGAGCCCCGCCTCTGGGAGCCCGGGGCTGGGCTCGCCTGTGGGTTGGCGTGTGGTCCTCCAGTGGCACTTGGAAGGCCTGTGGGTGATGACCACTCTGGCCAGGGGAGGCAGGTGGGCTACCAGGAAAACCTGGCTTCCCCTATGCACCCCTTTCTCTGCCTGCCCACAGAAGGCCAGGCTGCCGGGGTCCACACGCCCCCACCCCAATTCCAGCCTCCTGGGGCTGAAAGTCAAGTCCAGGTAACACAGGAGGGCACACAGGTGCTGCTGCCACAGCAGCTCCTGCCTCCCGAAGCCGAGGTCCTGCCCAAACAGCGGGGCCAGGCCACAGTGTGGTGGCCCACCTTCTGATTGTGAGTTTCGGGGCTGTCACCATACAGGATTCTATCAAATAAACATCTCAGCAGGGACCAAGGACTAAGCCCAGATCCTCCTGATCTAAGCACTTCCTCCCTAAGCGACCTTGGGCAAGTCTCTTAACCTCTCAAAGCCTGCATTTTTGCAGAAGGTCCCAGTGAGGATTAATTCCCTTGAATGCTTAGCATCGTGCCCAGCACCTGGTTACGGCACCTGGTTAGGCATCCAATAAATGACAGCTATTATTATTATTAAAGTGCTTCCTGCGGGTTGATGCAAGTTAGAGCAAACCAAAATGGCTTTGCCGGCTCCCTAATGTAACACCTCCCAATCCCACCCCTCCTCCAGACTACCACCCCAGGAGTTAATTAAAACCCTCCTTGGGTGTTTTCCAGACACGGGATTTTACACTTATTCTGGGTTGCAGAACTAGAATGGGGGCAGGTTTCACTTCAGCTGATAAAAAGCAAAACGCTGCTTTGATAGGTAGTGAGCTCCCCGTCAGCTCACGTGAATAAGCTGGCCCTGATGACCATTTGGCAGTAACGCTCGAGCATAAACGAACATGTATTAGCATTTCTCAAGAGGCCTTTGAGTCCAAACCGTGGTTTAGATCAAACAGCAGAAATCCACCCACCTTTGCAACTCGGGGCTCCCCAAGGGTGACAAATTGAGGATGCCTGGCCAGCTGCACCCTAGTCACTGCATACCAACAGGAAGAGGGGTCCTTGTAACAGATGCTGGAAGAGCAGGTGTCCTGCAGGTCCCTTTGGTGACTCACCTCCCCGTCCCCAATCAAGCACTGGGCCGAAGAGACGCCATGTCCTGATTCCAAAGGATGCCCCTCCCTACTCCCCTCCCAGCAGAAGAAAAAGGAGCTAGAGGACATGGAATCAAGTATACATTTTAAAAATTGTTTAATGGAACATAAACTCCTTTAGAAAAACATTCAGCCAGGTGATAACACCCATAGAAAAAAACACCAATCTCGTGTTTATCTTTTTTTAATTTGGCATTTGTTATTTGCATTTATATTAAAGCAAAGTGCATCTTTTCTTTATTTTTCTTGTTTATACACATTGCACAATACATAAATAATGATGCTTATAAAACGTCTTTATATTTACAAGTAATAATATATTTATATATAACATAAAATACATTTTTTCTTTAATAAATCTCA